CGACCCCACAGATGTCGAGGGAACGGCTATTGTGTGTGTATATATACACATGCTCACCCTAAGGTTAAACCTGTACTAGATACCAACATAGTGACGAGGATCGTTACTTGATTCCTGATTCCAAACAACATCAACCCTACCCCTGTCCTTGTCATTCGCCCTTATGTCAAAGGCTACCTTCATGTATATCCTTCTCGGTTTATAGGTGCCGTGCCCTGTTTGAGGCTTCTTTTGCCCTCCTTCAAGCGATTCACCATACGGTGCCGGGGCGTGTCCTTTGGGGTGACCGCCTCAGCTGCTGGCCATTGCTGCTTGCATAGTCATGATGAGCAGATCGGTTTTGGTAGCAGCATGTGGGCTCTACAAAGGGTGATCGTGATCGTGATGATGGTTGGATGAGCACGAGCCATCAAAAGAACCGCTCAAGGTCCCGCGTGTTCCTGTCCGGCCCTGGCTCGAGTTGAACCTACTCGGTTCCCACACCTTGTGGCGGCTTACATCCTTATCGCGCCATGAGGGCCGTCGTTGTAGCTGTCCTGCACGCCCTTGCAGTGCGGCTGTCGGAGTGGATCTATGATGGCGACGCCTCAGTGCATCACTTGCCACCCTGGGTCGACATCAATGAGTCCAGAGTCAACCTCTCGTACACGCTGGCCTCCCGCTTCGAGCCCACAGGGACGTCCAGTTTGAGATGCGACAATCTGTTTGTAGACCTTCAAGGAGCGGAAGAATCTTACCGAATTCTGGCCGTGATTTTCCGCGGGACTACGACGGCGCAGGACTGGATTGCCAACGCTGGTGCTTTGCCGGACTATGACAAGTTCAAGGATATCGGCATTGGAGTGCATGCTGGCTGGAAGGCAGTGGCCACATACCCAGAGTATGTGAACAGACTGAGGTCGACCATCTTGGAAGAGGCCTCGGGCACGGGGCTGGATACCATCCTCTTCACGGGCCACAGCCTAGGCGGAGCGGTAGCTCAAGTGGCGGCCTTGCTGGCCTACACAGACGACGAGCTATGGAGGCACCCCAAGGTCAGCAAGCTGCTTTCTGGGTTGCAGTGCATCACCGTGGCAGCCCCGCAGCCGTTCAGTCCCACAATTCATCAACAGATTCATCGGGAGAACAGACAGGAAGCTGCCCCAGGTGTTCTGCTGGCACAAGCCAACGCACTGCAATGGATGGAGCGTCGGTGCACCAACTACGTGCGGAACAATGACATTGTGCCACGATTGCCAGGCAATGTGGGCTTCATTCAGAAAATGTGGGACCGTGTGCCCTTCGCCGTGAGGACGCTTCTTGACCTTGGTGCTGCTCCATTGCCATTGGATTTAGGGACCTTGTTGAAACAAGATTTGGGCCTAGGTGTCTATGCCCCGCTCTGCACAACGCGTCTCCTGATGCCTGGTGGTGGCTATGAAAACATCGGTCGCACCGCTGCCAAGAGGACCCTTGAAACTCATCGGCCGAGAGACCCTTCCGTCAGTGACACCTATCTCGGACTTATGGAATGGAATGGCTTCATGGCAGCACAGAACGAACATCGTGCTAAGGCCTACGTCAACATGGTTTACAGGGCTATGGGGGCGAGGGATTATGCCCATGGCCATGATGACAGCTTCATCGAGGTCGCGAAGCCTCGCACACAGTATGCAGGACAGACTCGTGTATTCTGTTAGTTCCATTACGATCGTGTTTTATTAGTCAACAAAATACATTCTATCACTATAGTTTGTTATGTCATCTGTTGTTATGCTGTACTGTAGTTATATTTCGTTACAATGATATCCTGTTATATAATATTTCATGGTATGGTATTGTCTTAGTGCGTTCAGTAAGACATGGTAACGTTTTTATGTTTTCTCATCTCATCTTATATCATCTTAGCTTGCATCAGGTTATACTGTATGTCCGTTCACGTTCTACACCTGTGCATTATATTTTGTTGTGTTCTATCATATTTTGTCTAGCTGCACATTAACATGTATTTCATTGTATCTGGTTGTGGTGTAACACCTTTTGTCAGTGCATTTTATGTTAGCTTTGTTCATGTTGTGGTATGTTCTCTCATATTGTACTATAATAGATCATATTATACTGTACTGTAAGGTGTCATACTACGCCGTACTATGCTATATGTTTCTCTGTTTTTTGTCATACCCATTATTATACAATGTGTGATATGGTATGGTATCACGTTATGTTGCATGGCATTGTGTGTCATCATATGTCGTTCTGTGATAAGGTTTGGCATCATACTGAATTGCCACATATGCAACATACGATATTATCATATGCTACATTCTGTCATACTATGTATAGAACGTTTTTATCATGGATCATGACCGTCGCGCTGGAGCCGTATATTATTTTACATCCTTTCGTATGTTGTACTGTGACACGACGACACAGCACATTTTATGCTATACTGCATTGTGCCACATTGTCTTCTGTTGTGTTAAAACAACTCATTTTCATGTTGGAATGTAACAAATCATAAAGCTTAGACTTTATTTCACTGTAGTATATTACAGTTTATTTTACCACATCATTATATACATTATGTTGTGTTAGGTTGTAAAATGCTACGTTATTCTGAAACATCTCTTTTGCGTCTTAGTATACTGTATTTGACATGTTGCGGTATATTGCCGTACAGACATGTCTGGCATAATGCTACATTGTGCTGTAGTTTAGTCGAGTTTTGTATATTGCACTGTACGGTACTTCCCGGTGCGGTACGGTGCGCTATAGTGTAGTGTGGTATGGTACGGTATGGTATGATGTAGTACATTACATGACAGTACAGTACATTATAGCAAAGTGTACTATCGAATAATGAAGGATGCTGTAGTATAGGATACTCTAGTATAGTATACAGTATACATATCATAGTCTTCAATCCTCTATAGTATATCGTAACAGGACAACAACAAGGGGGACAGCACCACGGCCAGGGTCGCTTGACCTACACGGACTCGGCTGGGAAACAGCAATATGAAGGCGAGTTTATGGAAGGCAAGTACCATGGTCATGGGCGCTTGATTTTTTCTGAGGCCAACGGAAACTCGGTCTATGTTGGGGAGTTTGAAAGTGGCCGATTCCATGGCCAGGGTGAGTTACGTCATGCTTGCGGCGAGCAGTCTAGGGGGCAGTTCAAGAATGGCCACTTGCATGATGGTCATGGGATCCGTATCTTGCCTGACGGCACGTGGTTTCTGGGCGACATCGTCGAGGGCAAATATCACGGTGAAGGATGGCTGAAACTACCCACCTCCTGGGAGTACCAAGGAACTTTCGAGCAGGGGTTGTTCGAGGGTCAGGGCACCAAGACGTTGCCTGATGGCGAGCAGTACACAGGCCAGTTCCGTCAGGGGAAGTATCATGGCGTGGGGCGCCTGATACTGCCTACTGGTGCTAAGTACAACGGCCAATTTGTCAAGGGCGAGTTTCACGGCGAAGGACATTAGGCTCGTGCCGATGTGCAGCTTGCCATCCTTGAATGTACCCGTGCTTCGATGCTGGGCTTGCGCCGGAGTTGGCGAATTTGAGAGGGGTGGCACATGTCCGATCCTACTTATGTGACATCTCACACTGTATGCTTGCACGGTTCTTCATGGCCATGTCCGGGGAGCTGGTGACGTGGGAGTCGGATATGATGACCATAGGTCCAAGAGTGACCTGATGGTCTGCCATAATTCGGATACTTACAGAAACAACATTCATTATTTGAGAGTTTCGGTGCCAGCAGCAGCACAAGACAGATAGACCGAGTGTGATGGCAACATCTATACTATCGCAAGCGCGATGATGGGCTGTTTTGAAAGCAGGAGCCGGGTTACTGGACATTCCCAGTGTTGTGAATCGAAAGGCTGATGCTGAGCATCCAAGTACTACGCAGTTGCCTGAATCGCAATGTCTTGTCTCGAATCGATGTTTATGCGGGTATGCCGTATTACTTTCGGGCTCTGGATTTGGGCACACCCCTGCAGCAAGTGCTTGCAACTTGTGTGGCGGGGCAAAGGCCAAGTGCTTGCTAGCACAGGTCATGAGCTTGCACGCAGCATGGACAAGGCACCCAATTTTTTGTATGGCTAGCAGGTAATTATTAAGTATCCGAATAGTGGATACTCATCTAAACCATAACAATGATGTTTCTTGTTGCAGCACGTTTTCTCTAACTCGCTTGTGCGCGTCTGCTTGGACCTTTGCAGAAATTGCTCTTTTTGTTGTCGTGGTCGTCACTGCTTTGACGGAGATGCATTGCTGTCCTCGTTTGCTCATGCAATATTGCTTGTGGCAGTCTCCTTCGTCTGGAGGTTGCCAACACGATCTTAGGATTCCTGCAGATGGTGCTTGTGCAGTTTGGCTGCTGGAGACTGTTTGCTCGCCAAGGAAGTACTGCCCTACGCCACGGCACACTGGCCACGAGCCTATCAGCTAGCTCTGCTCCGGCGCGGGCTTGAAGCCAACAGTTCCTTGAAATCAACTGTGCAAGCTGAGGAATTGTTTGCCCGGAGCGCTACATGCCTGGCGCACATCTTCTGAACATGGAATGCCGATTTGGATATTCCGTGGTGCTGCGACTCTCCTGAGTTCACTCCTTCAGGTGCGGCCCATACCCCGCCAACACCGAGCCAACTGGATGTCCGGCAGGCCGTCCTGAACGATGATTCTGCGAAAGTTCTAGATTCTAGCTTTTGGCACGTAGCATGAATCAAAGCCGTGGCTTTGGTCTCATTCTCAGGTTCCTTCAATCCCTGGCCGGGACAGTGGAACTGCACCGTGTGTCTGGAAGGCGGTGTGTGTTCGCACCTCACTTTCTGTAGATGGAGTTGGTATGCCCAAATCGAAACTGGTTACAGCAAAGGTCCACGCAGTCGCATGCGCCTTCCTCTGCCGTGCCCCTGCGGCTACGAGTGCAGCAAGGGCCTTCGCACTCTGCCGGTCATGCAGTATTGAAGTGTCTTACGAATGAAGAAGCTTTGCTTCAAGCTGCAATGGCCTCCTTGCTCGCGTTGTTGCTTGCTAGTCGGCTGAGCCTGCTTACCAAATCACAAAGACAGAACCCTGTGTGGGCGCAGCAACAGATCAGGTGAGCTAAGCTTCATACTCTCAGCCACATGTACAGCACACCGGGAACATCTTCAAAAATCCCTGCATGAACTCTTGGGCCCCTTATACGGGATACTACTACTAGTACTACTACTACTCCTCCTACTGCTACTACTACTACTACTACTACTACTACTACTGCTACTACTACTACTATTACTACTACTACTACTACTACTACTACTACTACTACTGTGGTAGTTAGTAGTTAGTAGTCAGTAGTTAGTAGTTA